AGCTAGTTGCACTAGTCAAATTCCAGTTGCACTGTTTTTATTGCAATATGTAATATCAGAAATATGCTATTGAATTATTTAGATGTTTTATTCAGAAGTTCATCCACTCAAAAATTGACTTGCGCCTGGTGCAAGTTAGACTAATAACTAGGTTGCACTTTGTAATGTTGGGTTGCACCGGTGCAAGTAGCAAAGCACTAAATCGAGCCCTGTAGTATAAGTATAGACTGATCAACAAAGATGAAATCTTTTTTACTCGATAATCTTATTTTGGTTTTGTTGCAAAATTATGTAGACTTTGATGAATAATTTGGTTTCTTATAAAAAAATGCTGATTTTGATGTAAACTTTTGATTTCATAGTAATGTTGACTTTATAAAACTGTTATCGTAAATGGATGTAGAATTGGATTTAAAAAATAGCTTGACCTTGAATTTGGTGAGAAGCCTGATATAATAGCATTGTTTTGAAAGTAAGGCTAAGTACATGGGGAATCTTGGGGAGAGTAGTGAGCTTGGGTTCACTACTAGTCAATCTGAATGTTTTATTTAATGGCATTATTTTGATAACAAATGAAAACATTTTAAGTTTAACCATCTGCCAGTGGTAAAAAATGTTAGGACTGAAATAACGAAGTCAATGTACGTCTTTATATTTTGTCTTATAATCCTAATTATCCCCCGCAACGCGTTTTGCAGGGGGTATTAAAATGGACTCCGTCCGTATGCGTCGTCCGTGNCGTGCGTCCGTCCGTCCGTCCGTCCGTGCACATTTGTCTTTTCCGGAGCAGAACTCTAAAACCGTTCACGATTTCTTCACCAAACTTGGCACATAGATAGATCTGGTGGTGTACTGGTGCCTTTTGGTCGTTTTGGAATTCTGAATAAAAACATTTTTGGCGTTTCCATGGCAACAAGTATGACCTAGAATGAAATTGGTGGTAGTGCTCTTTTCCGGAGCAGAACTCTAAAACCGTTCAATATTTCTTCACCAAACTTGGCACATAGATAGATCTGGTGATGTACTGGTGCCTTTTGGTAGTTTTGGAATTCTGAATAAAATATTTTTGGCTTTTCCATGGCAACAAGTTTGACTTAGAATGAAATTGGTGGTAGTGCTCTTTTCCGGAGCAGAACTCTAAAGCCGTTCAATGTTTCTTCACCAAACTAGGCACATACATAGATCTGGTGGTGTACTGGTGCCTTTTGGAAGTTTTGGAATCTTGCATAAAATATTTTTGGCATTTCCATGGCAACAAGTTTGACATAGACTGAAATTGGTGATAATGCTCCTTTCTGGAGCAGAACTTTAAAAACCTTTCAATACTCTCCTTCCACTTTTCTTTATACACAATATTTGACATAATCATAACTCGTAGACATAATCATGAAGAGTATTTTGCCATTGTGGGGGATATTGATGACTTTGTCTTCTTGAAGTTCTTGTTAATTTATTATCATATTTGTATGCATTTTGAAACTTAATAAAATGCACACGATCTGCTTATACTTAGTGCATTATAACATGATTGTAATATCTAGACATTTTATTGATTGCCAACGTGTAACATATTTCACACACACGCCCTGAGTGTATATTACCTGTCTCATTACACTTCACGGCAAAAAAAAAATGATTCTGTTGAATGCCATAACAAATTTATAAAATCAAAATGCAAATTTAAAACAGACTAAAGTTATACTATAGCAACAATATCAGGCTATTACCTTGTTCGGGGAATGTATGCCATTCCTCTGCAGCTGAGAAAGTATCCTGTTCCATGTCATGTGTCTTTTAACAGTCTAATATGCGAAAAAGTGATCTATCGTTTCAAGTTTTTCACATTGGTGTATAGTCCCATTGGTCACCCAAGATAGCACACCTGGCAACTAATTGCATGATGTCCGCCATTCTTTAAAAGAAGTAATTTAGTTAGCCAATAATGAGCAATCAATCAATGAATTGCCAGTTAATCCTTTGAAGGAAGGACGTTGTTTTTACAAAGAGACTTTATGACAGGGTGTATTCAGTATAGATTAGTAAATCTACATACATAAACACTACCTTTCAGAGGCCCAGATAAGCTGCGTATCCGGGTAAAATATGCATAGAAAATTTCCAATTACGCATTGAAAAATAATTGTTGTGTACCAATTACGCATTTAAACTGTTACATACGCAAAGAGTTTAAAACAAATGCTTACGGAATATACTTATAAAAATTGCTTGCGTAATGAAAAAGACATCGATTGCTATCAAGATGTACTGTCAGTATAGGATGACTGATTTTTTATGAAATCATTTCCCTTATATTTAAGTTGGTTTTTATTAGGTATGACATAAGGCAGAACATACCTGCTTAGTAAACTTACTCAATGACATAATACTTAGGTGTGTAAAATTACTGAAATACTGCTGGGATACTTTATTACAATCAGACAAGAACTACCAGGGATATTTTCAAATAACGGCATCTGATGGGCATCCACCCTTCCTAATGTCCCACTGATTAGGTTAAAGAAATTCTGCCAGGGTGGATGAGTAGCCTAGTCCCTGTGTCCGTCACGGTCGAGGGAGCAGAGACTGACCAGTTTGCAGCTAGGTTTCGTAATTAGACTGTTGGCTGGAAACAATAATCGCTCGGGATCAGTGGCCCTTTAAGCTTTGAGATTAGAGTGCCACCAATAGACAGTTGGACGGGGTGCCAAAATAGGTTTGGAATTATTTGACTTGGTCAGTCTACGTAAACTGATGCTCAGTATTATTCGTTACACTGCTATACTGAGTCTAACAAACCCTAGTAGAAGGTCGCGTCAGTTAACCTTTTGGACTGACCAATCAGAACACAGCTTACCAAATCGCAAAAGGTAACATTCGCACATACCGTTTCAACCTTTACCTAAAAAACTCGAACGATTCCGAATGCTATTTTCCGCACGATCGCTTCCGAGTGATACATGCAATGAGTAAACAGTCGCTGAAAATAGCGTTTTTGTCAATATTCAAGGATGTCATCTTGCGAAAATATAAGGAAATAGTAACCAAGTCATTAGCAACCCATAAGCGTACATAGTGCAGGTCAAATAGCTGTGTTTTATGCGGATTTTCGTTTGTTGATAGATCAGTGTCAGCGACCAGGAAAGAGAAAATCCCCAAACCGTTTTATAAGTCCCGCCGAACCCTAACAAGTGGTCATTGTCTGATTTGTTAAATCCGTTTGGCCGTCTTGCGTTTGATCGCTCAAAGGTTAGCTGACACGACCTTCTACTAGGTTTTGTTAGACTCAGTATAGCAGTGTAACGAATAATACTGAGCCTAAGTTTACTTAGACTGTTGACTTGGTCAAACCTATCACATTTTCCATTAACTGAATTATGTTGTGTGTTATTTTTATGATGTTAGTCATGCATCCAGGGCACACAGAAAATATTTCATCTGTGCCATTTTCAAATTTATTGTGCCATGACACACAAACGAAGGACTATTTCGATCCCTGTTATCATATACAAAACAAATATTGCTTATTTCACCTGAGTGACTCCTTCTTTGACTTACGACCCTAATGCTTTTGTTAACCCTGGAAACAGCCGTTAGGAAATCCATATTTTACACAGGAAAAGTAAAAAAGATTGATGGATTGAAAAGTTCTGTATATTATGTTGCTATAGCTATTTGTATCTTCTGATTTGATACATATATTTATCATGGAAGTATGTGTCATTCAGACAAGCCATGCCTGTTAAGCAATATTTCTTCTTGGGCTAGTTGTAGTGGTTAGAGCGTCTGCCCGGAGAGTGGAAGGTCGCGGGTTCGATCCCCGACTGCGTCATACCAAAAAGACGTTAAAATATGGTACTTGTTGGTCCCTGCCTGGCGCTCGGCATTAATGGGTACAACATGTACTGGTCGACTCGGAGTCAGTATAATGTGTCTGAGTGGGGTATTCATGCTTCACTGCGGCATGGTATCTCAGTGGGCTAGCACTATAAAACCAGCTTAAGTCTGGGCTAGTACAAGCAGCCGCACATACACATACACACGCATGCACATCATCATATGAGCGAAATATTCTCAAGCACGACGTTCAACCCAATTTCACCTCACCTCACCTCTTCTTGGGCTAAGGTAAACGTGCATAAGTTTGTCATGTTTTAGTGTTTTAAGGTCATGCTTATGTCATGACACACAGTATCACGATTCACTCATATTTGTGAGGCCGGTGGGGTAGCCTAGTGGTTATAGCAATCGCTTGTTATGCCGATGACCCGGGTTCGATTTCCCACATGGGTATAGTGTGTGAAGCCCATTTCTGGTGTCTTCCGTTGTGATATTGCTGGAATATTACTGAAAGTGGCATAAAAAACTAAACTCACTCACTTATTTGTGCTCGCTGAATAATGGTTGACACATGTCATTGGTTCCCAATTACGCAGATCAATGTTCATGGTGTTGATCACTGGATTGTCTCGTCCAGACTTGATTATTTACAGATTGCCGCCATGTAGCTGGAATATTGCTGAGTGCGGCGTAAAACTAAACTCACTCACTCACTCACTTATTTGTGAATTTTTTCAATGAGTGAATACATTTCATACCAAGTGGATGATGTATCACTCCCTGTTTGACGATAATTAAGTTCTTTATGTTGCTTTCAGGTGTATATTAACAGTTAATCTCCTTCCTTCTTCAGTGCTTTAAATATCTTGTCATAATATAGAGTGAATGTGTGTGGGGTGGGGGGGCATTGATCTCGTACATGACATAGGGGGTTTTCAATACTTTGTACTTGCATTTTAGAGGAGACATTCACATTATACCTGCTTGTCCATAAAAATCATCATCACCCCCCATAAATTATGAACCGGTCCTTACCAGTGTTACAAGATGAGTTGCCGTCATGTCGATGGAACGGATGAAAACCAACCAACATGATTTTGCTGTATATTCTGTGTATTCCAAGAGATTGATGCATAGTAAATGTTTTCTTTGCTCTGTTACAGTACACCTTTGAAAACAAGACTCATTTCAACCTGGCAATGGCGTGGGCCAGTGATCACGACGAAGGGGTGAGTATCATGTCTTTTGATAGCCACTGTAACTCTTTCACCTCATCTGTTTGTTACCCGCTATAGTCCGTTTGGCTCAAAAGCGGACCGATGAATTGCAATCTAACTCGAAAACTAATAAACATAACATACTCAATGAAACGCTGATCATAATCAAAACATCATACCAACTCTGTGAGGTTTTGCAGAATTTTTGTCCTAAAAATAAAAAAGTTGTTTAACGAACTATCATTAAAATATTGCCACAGTTCACTGTTTGTTACGAGGGAGGAGTGCAGAGAAAGGGACAGCCAGGTGTTCGAGAAGCACGTTCACAGACAAAGTTATTGATTCATTAACCTGTGCTGTGCCGTCTCTATCCGTTCTCGAACACCTGGCTGTCCCTTTCTCTGCACTCCTCCGTCGTAACAAACAATGAACTGTGTCAATATTTTAATGATAGTTCGTTAAACAACTTTTTTATGTTTAGGACAAAAATTCTGCAAAACGTCACAGAGTGGGTATGATGTTTTGATTATGATCAGCGTTTCATTGAGTATGTTATGTTTATTAGTTTTCGGTTAGATTGCAATTCATCGGTCCGCTTTTGAGCCAAACGGACTATATGTATACTGATGTCTGAGATAAACATGATATCACTATGATAACCTTGACAAGTCAGTTTCAGTGTTGTTAGAGAGTGCATAAACAACTCTGGAACAACTTCCCAGTCACTGTCAGAGAAATCAACTGTAAAGACTTTCAAAAAACCCTAAAAACCCATCTGTTGACAGTATCCCTCCCATAGTCTTTCAAACTTTCTTCTTCAGCGCTGTTGAGCAAATACTCTTTGGAGATGGCGCTACATAAATTCATGATCATTATCATAATCATATCATTATCATACAACTTACAAGTAGACTGTTTACTAAGCATTAGAGCTGCAGAGGAAGAGGAATGGGTATACTGTGAAAAATACCTACACATCAATCTTTAATTTTTATTTTGTAGTTGTATGTTTCACTTTGGTTTAGTATAAGCATTATGAATTGCCTGATAATATAACAAGTCTCTTGATTGGACAAGTCTTCATGCTCAGCCAATCCCTGCCATCAAAATGCTTGTAGCACATACAAAATGAAGGCGGTACAGCTCACACCAAAATTGGGGATCCACCATTTGGGCATTTTGATTATTTGCGCATATTTGATTGCCAAAATATTGTGTTTGCCTTGTTTTATATGCACTTGGTGTATTGAATCAAAATATACCAAATCCAGCGGTCTATATCATATATGTATATCATATCAAAACAATGGTGTACTGTTGCAGCTTGATTTATCAGACTTTATAAAGCATGCATAGGGAATTTGTGATTTTGATATAATGTTTAATTGAAGGACTGATAACAGAGCATCTGCTTGTACAGTAAGTTCCAAAATTTGCTTATCTTTAATATACAGGCTGTCATGTCTAATGTGAAGATAACTAGCCCAAGGCCCTGAATAAGGCTATTGACATGATTGGGCACTGAAATGATAAAAGCATTATTGCCTGTTATTTAGTCCTGTGGGCATAGATATTTTCTCTCATCTTAATAGGCCGAAGAATAAACCTGCAGGGGCTCTGTTTGCCAAACATGCTTTATTAAACTGATTATAGCAGGTTATGGCCAAAGATGGAGAGTCTTACCTCACATTGCTCTATGGGTTCATGTGAATGATGAAATGGAGAGAGGCAGTGTGGAAGGCTAATGCTGAACACATTTGATCACCAGCTAATGATTCTTGGCAAAGATGCAAAGACTGGTTCTATTCTGTTTAACTACTATGAAGTTTTGCTACACATGCTGCTCAAGGTGTCAGAATTAACTAGTCTGATAGTCTGCAGGTCTGTGACTAGTAAAATTCAAGAAGGACTACTACCAATTACATTTCTTACCACTTAGTGGTTAGATAGAAGGCAACGCTGTATCAGATCATTTGGGAGTTACTAAAAATAAACATTCCTTCCTAACCCTGCTAAGCGTGGGGTACCAGTCTAACCCACTGTTCTCCAATCCCTACTGTTCTGTAGCTTGAGGGGAGGTGGGCTAGCCAACTGGTTAAAGTGTTTACTTGTTACCGGAATTCAATTTACTACATGGGAATAATATCACTCTCACTCACTCACTCACTCACTCACTCACTCACTCACTCACTCACTCACTCACTCACTCACTCACTCACTCACTCACTCACTCACTCCACTCACATTGGGAAAGGGTTGTTGGATAGTGTTTGGTTGGTATAAGTACTTATCCTTTTCTTCTGATTCACGCCAGTGGTGTTGTCGTGTGATCACGCCAGTGGTGTTTGTCATGTGATCACGCCAGTGGTGTTGTCATGTGATCCCGCTGAGGTTAGCTTGCTCATACTTCCTGGTGATTTGTTCATCAGTTTGGTTAAACCAGCTGACAACAACACATCCTCATAACCACAGTATTTTGCACTTTCATTTCCCTGTGGGCGGGATTCTGTGGCAGGATCGGCCATGACTGTGGGTTATAGTGGTGTTACGATACGGCAATACAGTATTGTATTGTGACTCCTGTTACAATCCAATTCATTATAAGTTACATTTATGTAAAAATATGTCAATTATAAGTGAAACTGTTCCAGAATCCATTATTTCAGATTCTGTATTATTTCCTGGGTTGGCCATAAACAGGAGAATCTGTAATTTCCCTTAAGCTGATGTTTTCCACCTACAATATCCTATCTTTGCTGTCTGAACAAACAATTCAGGGTTGTGATTTACCTACAGAATAGGAGAAAATATGAACTTACTAAAGAAAAAGGTACTGTATCCGGATATATCATCCACATTATCATGATACTTATATCATTACACCTCTAGTTGTAGTACATACAAACATACATTGTCTTGACTGCAAGTATTTCATCTGTGGTGCAGTGGATAGAGCACATGCCTGGAGAGTGGAAGATACATGGTTTGAATATCAGACTCTGTCATACCAAGACATGAAAAGATGGTACTTGTCAGGGATGTCACGATACGTATGATGAATCATGAATCGATACGTATCATGATATCCATGTCACGATTCGATACGTATCACGATACCTATTTTCGCGGCATTATTGCGTAAATTAAGTTACATTTTGAACATTAATATTTCATATTTTATAATTGTGCATGAAAAGATCAACATTTTTTATTCTCAGAGATTTTAAAGTTCTAATTTCCCATCTTTGTGCATGAAAAATAATCATTTTTAACTCTCATATAGTCATAACATAAAAAAACATGATATAATTGCAAAATGTAAATGATGCATAAACATATTTAGAATGTTTGAAATGTATCGATAATTGAATCGTCTTAGAAAAAGTATCGATGTATCGTGGCATCCCTAATACTTTTTGTTACCCTGCCTAGTCATTGAGAGGAGAAGTCAAGGACTGGTTGACTTGTAGTCAGTATACTGTGTGAGTGTCAATGTTCAACTGCAGCATGGTATATCAAAGTTGAAGAATTATAAAACCAGTTGTAGTCCAGACTGATGCTACCATAGACAGGGCTCCAGATAATTTTTCAACATCAGGAGTCCGTACTCCATATTTTTTGACTACATGAGTACTGGAAAACCTTAAGAGTACATTTAGAGTACTGAGTGGAATTTAATGGCGTATCAGTAGTCTTGTGTTTCGTTTCATATATGCACCACAACAATGATAGTCTTGTGTAAACAGGTCAATAAACAATAAACCAATATTTTTTTCAGATAAATACGTCTGTAAATGATTCTGAGACCATACACCATTGCTGTGGTGCGTACCTGCTACGTTTTCTAAATTATTTGCTACCGTATCATGCATATTTTGTATCCGTACATACGCCGATCCGGCCCTTATCTGGAGCCCTGATAGACAGATGCATGTGTAAGCATGCTACTTTTAAGTACAGTAATCTTTGATGTAGAATCCCATATTGTGGGTGAATATTGTTTTGTGCCTCAGTTATAGTATACCATATGCAAGTAATAATTCCTCAATCCATGGTTGATTGGTTGGTTGTTGTTTAACACCGTACTCAGCAATATTCCAGCTATATGGTGGCAGTCTGTAAATAATCGCGTCTGGACCAGACAATCCAGTGATCAACAGCATGAGCATCGATCTGTCACAATTGGGATACGATCACATGTGTCAGACCATGATGCCCTGTAATGATGTACACTTTTATGGACAAAAAAACCCACATTTCTTGAGGGTACAGGATCGAGCCTAAAACGAGGTCACAGACTCACACGTTCACCAGTCTGATATTGGTTTTAATCGACTTTTACTGAAAGTATAATGTATTAGAATTCATACTGGATCAGGAATCCAGAAAACGGTACCGGTACATTGCCTAGGAAGGAATAGACACTGCTACTAGTGTGGTCGTCAGAGACTACTGAAAATCTAAATGGGCTAGTTGTTTTCTCCCTAATTGGAGATTGTTGATGTGACTGTCATTAGCCTATGTTAAAGTGGGAGATATTATCACTTTATAAATTTGCTGAATGGGACCATTGCTGATTGTATGTAATTGTTCTCCATCAACCGTTGGTTTTGTTAGTCCTGACTCAATTCCAAAATACTTCTGAAACATAAGACTAAAAGCGCTCACCATGCTTATGCTGACATTAATAGAAAAGTTATGGAAAGCACCTTGTATACCTGTTTGTAAAACACTTTGAGACCATTCTCTCGATTCTCTCATATTCAGAGATCGAAATACTGCTTAATTTGCATGCCATCGAACTAGTGCTTAATTTGTGTGCAATATTGAAATGGCATGGATGATATGTTTTCAATGTACCCTGGTGCCACGACTAAATTTAAACAAATTATACTTCACAATGATTCATTTAATAGAAAATGCGATACACTTAACAAACACAAATGATTCCAAACTTATTTTGGCACCCCATCAAACTGTTTATTGGTGGTGCTCTCGATCTCCCAGCTTAG